GTCACAAGCGACTCGACGGCACATAACAACAACAACAGCATCTTTATTGCAGTAATATACATATATATTTAAACATAGTGAATAAAGAATTTATGTGAAAATAAAGGGTGCAACAATGAATGAATGGAATCCCAAAATCTCTGTAGATGTTCATTGAAATGAAAAATAAACAACCAAAATTTAAAAAAAAAATAAAAAAAAGTTCAAAAAAAAAAGAATTTATGTGAAAATAACAGGCAAAATGTTTACATTTGTTAATGTTTAGTTAAAATGTAAAATAGAATATTGTAGTTATGTATGATCATGTCTACGTTAAATATACACACATGCATACCTCAAAACCAAAAGCAGCGCCATCAAGCTGACTCTGATGCCCAGCAACTCCATTGGGTTTCTGAGGCTGTAAACCTTTAGGGATCTGCTCATCTTCCTTTAGAGTAGCCGCTGGTGGGTTTGATTTGCAGCCTGATGCATAACACACTACTCACCTGGTACACTCACTCTATATGTCTCTCTCTGTGTGTGTGTGTGTGTGTGTGTGTGTGTGTGTGTGTGTGTCCCTCTCTAACTATACAGGTGATATACAACCTTAAAAAGAAATGTACCAACTCTATACAGAACTTACTTATCAATAATGACTGTTAGGGTGATTTTCTTCTTTTCCTTCTACACTTTCCTAAACTACACAAATTTTCTACAATGGACATATACCAAATTTCTACTCTGAGAAAATAAAATCAATGTATATAATTAGTAATGTAATTCTAAGTAAATGGAACAGATATGTACTGTCCAGAAGAAAATTAAACATCTGACCAAAATCTACTACTCTATATAGAGCGCGGGGAACTCTGGTGGTATAATCCACAGAGAGGGAGGTGCTAACCCAAAGGTGGCATTTCTATAGCAATTTGTATTCACCAGTGGTGCTGCTACAGAAATATAGACAATGTTGTTGTTGTTATGTGCCATTGAGTCGTTTGCGACTCACAGCGACCCTATGTACAAGAGCCCTAAATGCCGTTCTATCCTGTGCCAACCTCGTCGTCTCAAACACACTTATTCCTACCACTCCAGTCACAGAATCGATCCATCTCATCAAAGGTCTGCCTCTCCTGCGCCGCCCCTCCACTCTGCCAAACATGACGACCCTCTCCAAGGACCAGTCCCTCCTTGCAACATGCCCAAAGTATGTCACATGAAGTATGTCAGAATCCTTGACTCCAGGGAACATTCTGGCTTCACCCTCTCCAGGACAAACCTGTTTGTTCTCCTAACAGTCCATGGTATATTCAACACTCTTCTCCAGCACCACAGCCCAAAGGCATCAATTCGCTAGCATCCCTATTCACTGTCCAACTCTCCGATGGATAGCACACGTCGCTGCTCTTCAGTACTCTTGAGAGGTCCCTCACAGCTGACTTCCCCAATGCAATAAACGTACAACCTCCTGAAAACCCTTCAGAAAGTCAGCTATGAGTTAGTTCTGACTAATGAATTGACTTGAGTACACAGAGATCAGAAAGAATACCTGAATTGAGGCAACTGTGGCCTCATATATCCTCAGATCATATAATCAGTGAAAAAAAAAACCAACCATAACAACATTGTGTACACACATAAACACATCCACTTCAACGCTCTAGATCTAGATTCAGGACATTTTTACCAGTGCGTAACCCTGTCAGGAATTAGCTGATACAATCAGATATCCTTGGATTCCTGTCTCCAACTATTTAAACTCCAGGGACGTCCCTGTAGGCACAGTAATTGTACAATTTTACCAGAAGAAAATTTGAGCAGAGAGCACTGCATCTAATTATAACATTTCATGGCTTGTATTGCAATGCTAACTTATAGGAAAATTTCAGAAAGTTTTTCCTGTGACATCGTCTACAAGACTTATGAGTGGCTTGATTAAAATTGTAAAATACAAATTCAATAATTTCTATAGTGTCCTAAGAGGTTACCTAAGAGGTAACAAAGAAAGTTTGGAGCTTTTATCATAAATAGAAATAAACTTTCTTGATAAACTGTACAACAGAAAAAGAGTATGGAAAATTATCATTGAAAATATAAATTATAAACAGGAATGGTTAGAGATTCTCAGGAAACTTTCGCTGAAGGGAAAAAACTTGTACTTACTTTAACTTCCACAATCTTGCCCCCTTGTTCAACATATCTCTCTATGTAGTCAGAGGACAGCAAATCACTGCAACAGGAAAGAAGTAATGATTAAAGAACATATTTGAATTATAAAACATTTGAATCCCCAGAGCAAGTTTTTATATACAAGCTTTGACTATTCTTAAATACTGATTTAAAAATAATGTGAAAAGCACTTCTCAGCACTATCTGTCGCTCTCCCTCTCTATCATACACATACACTACTTAAGGACATAAATTTGAAAGTACTATTTTACTCCACTTAGGAGAACTAATTCTATCTCTCAAATCAGCAGTTCTAGCAAGCTATGTACAACTATTATTTATAAGTATTTACAATTTACAACTATTTATATACACACAATTATTTATTTATTTACATATGTATAATCCTATCAATAGTTTCAGTTGACGGCAAACCATTTCTTTGTGTGTTATATATGACGTGGCTTATTTACCTAATCATTTGTTGCCATCATACAATTTTAAAAAGCAAAGAAAGTTACAGAAAATGAAAACTTTTGTTCCATCAACATTTTAAAGGATCATCTTTTGAAATCTTCCTTCAAAACAATCTTCTTGTACACTTTCATATTTTCCAAACAATCTTAAAAATGTTTCTCATTTATTTAGTCATTTGGGGGGTGTTTCCCTAAGACATAACTTCCATTAAAAAAAAAAAGAGTTAAGTCTTTAAATGTAAAGGACAATGATAGAAATAATACTGCTGTTGTCAGATACTAAAAGCTGATTCTTATCCCAAGTGACAAAGCAGTACTGACTCATACAGTTTTATTGAATGTAACCTTTATTGAGGGAGTTCTGGCGGCCTCGTGGTAAGATGTTGTGTTGCCCAAAGGCACTTGGTTTGAACTGACCAGCTGCTCAGTGGGAGAAAGATGGGCAGTCTCCTCCTGTGCAATTTACTGCCTCTGAAAACTTGCTTGAGGGTCAGCGATGAGTTAGTTCCAACTTGATGGTACACAACACACATACACACACAATCTCTATTGAAGTAAATGTTCTTAGATGCCATCAAGTAAATTCCAATTCACAGTGACTTTATGTACACAGAACAAAATACTGTATGTGCCCACGGCATCCTCACACCCTCTAATGTGCTAAATCCTTTGCAGTTATTGTATCCATTTATCTCCATCTTCCTGCTGCCCTTCCTCTTTCTACCTAATTCCCTATTTAACCCACGATAATGTCCTTTTCCTGCATCTGGGCTGGTCTGACATGTTCAAGGAATCTGCGATGAAGTCTTACCCTCCTTGCCTCCAAGGAGCATTTTAGTTGCACTTACCCCAAGACAAATTTGTTTGTTCTTTTGCTCATCCATGCTCTAGTCAATAGTTTTCATATCCCACTGTCACTTGCCTATGATGCAAATGAAAATACTATGGCATGGGTCAAGTGCATTTTAGTTCTCAATGACACTTTCATAGTTACGTGCCACCAAGTCATCTGTGACTTATAGCAACCCTATATACAACAGCTCTAAACCCTGCTCTATCTTGAGCAAAGCTCATTGTCTCTGACACACCTACTCCCATTACCCTAGTCACTGAGTCAATCCATCTCATCGAGGGTCTTCCTCTCTTGTACTGCCCCCTCCACTCTTCCAAGCATGATGTCCTTCTCCAAGAACTGGTCCCTCTTGGTAACATGCCCAAATAACATCAGACAGAGCTTCAAAATCTTTGCCTCCCAAAGTTTAATAGAACAGCAAGTAACAAATGTTGGAGAGAATGTGGCAAGATAGGAACTCTTATATATTGTTGGTGGGATTTTACAATGGTACAATCACTCTGGAAGTCAGTTTGGCACTTCCTCAAAAAGCTGAACATAGAAATTCCATATGACTCAGCTATTCCACTGCTTGGAATATACCTTAAGAAAATGAGAACTGAGACACAAATGGAAACTTGTATACCAGTGCTCACAGAAGCATTATTCACTATCACAAGAATATGGAAATAGCCCAGATGTCCAACCACAAAAAAATGGATTGTGAAATTATGGTACATTCACCCAATGGAATACTATGCAGCACACAGGAGCAATGATTTTGTAAATTATTACCTAACTAGGGAGGGACTGGAAAGCTTTATACTGTATGAGAATACAAGGGGGGAGGGTAGAAGCAGAAGGTTGAGGATCCAAGGAGGGGGATTAATCATTGGGTAATACAATTTGATAGGGAGTGAGGAAAATGGGAAGGATCTGGTGTAAATAACAATGCATTCAAACTTTGTAAATAAACTAGTATAAAAAATTCAAAATGGGAATTTTATGAATTATTATATGAAACATAATGTAAATGAAAGATTGTATAAAATAATGTATAGGGATGAAATATAATCAATTTAAAAATCAATTTTAAAAATGTAAGAAAGCTTTGTCTGCAAGGAGCAGCCTTGTTTCACCCCCTTCAGGATGGACCTGTTTGTTCTCTCAGCAGTTCATGGTGTATTCAATGAGTTTTAAAAGATATTCTTTGTAGAAGATATGCCCAATGTAATGCATTGATTGATTTCTTTTTTCTTGTTTCCATGGGCACTCATCATGAAACCATCCTTGACAATTTCAATCCCTTTTCCATTTAACATGAATTCCTTTGTTGGTCCAGTTGTGGGGATTTTAATCTCTTGAAGCTGATATGATCATACTGTACCTCAGAAGCAAACAGCTTGTTCATTCTCCCATGGAGCCCCTGTGTAGGTTAGAACTGCTAACCGTGCAGTCAGGAGCCTAGTTTTTAACTGATGTGCCAGTGAGGTGCCTTATAAATAATATTTATTGTTCGTAGATGCCATCAAGTTAATGACAACACTCAACTGGAACGTTGTCCTATCCTGCCACCTTCAGAATCTCCACAATGTGCAAGCTCATTGCTGCGTTCAGTTCATCTCACTGAGAGATTTCCTCATTTTCACCGACCCTCTACCATTTGCAGCCTTTTTTCCAACAACTGGACCCCTCCTCATAATCTGCCCGAAGTACAGGAGACTAAGTCTCACCATCCTTGTCCTCTGGCTGCACTTTCTCCAAGATAGGTTGGTTTGTTCTTTTGGTACCATGATGAAGAACACCATGGAGATGGATTGACAAATTTAGCCCCTCTGTTACCTTACTCTACAATGACTTCCCCATTCCCATGTCTCACTACTCCCTCTCGAAGAGTTACTAGTATCCCCATCTCCACTCTGAGAATTCTCACTTCTGTTACTTGGTCCTGGAGCTGTGGTCAAGGTGGCTCTGAATCTAGTGACACATGTGGGTCAGAGTAAAACTCAGGAGGTTTTCCATTCCAGTTGGTGTTTTCAACACTCTTCATCAACACCACAATTCAAAGACATCAAATCTTCTTTGATCTTCCTTACTCATTATACATATTTTAGATGTATACGAAGCAATTTAAAATATCATGGCTTGTGTCAGATGCATGTTGGTCTTTAAATTGGCATCCCTGTTCTGTAACACTTTAAAGAACATGTTATTTTTATGTGTCATTGTGACAACTAAGCCTCAGAGTGACTCTATGAAGCAGCAGATTGGAACCTTGCTCTCTGTGTGCCACCATGACAATCTCTGACATGTTCAATCATTGCTATAGTCCCTGTGTCAATCTACCATATTGAAGGTCTTTCTTGTAAAAATAATACAAAGTTACATCTTTCTAAGTTTTATTTACTAGTAACTGGAAGAGATCTATATTTGTTCCCATCCCAAAGAAGGATGACCCAACAGAGTGTGGAAGCTATAGAACAATCTCATGTATTTCACATGCAAGCAAGATTCTACTGAAGATTATCCAAAAACGACTGGAACAGCACATCAGCAGAGAACTGTCAGAAGTCCAGGCGGGGTTTAGAAGGGGTCATGGTACTAGAGATATTGTAGCTCATGTTAGTTAGATGGATATTAGCTGAAAGCAGGGAATACCAGAGGAATGTCTACCTTTGTTTCATTGACTATGCAAAGGTGTTTGATGCGTGGATCATAACAACCTGTGGTTGACTCAGAAGAATGGGAATCTCAGAACACTTGATCGT